CGTGTGTGCCGGCGCGCGCCCGGGGCCGGAGTTCTGCCAGACAGGCGGCCAGGTGCGAGCAGCTCACACGCTCGCCCTCCCGCCCCGGGGGACCGCACTCTGCCAGACCCCGCGCCCGCCCGGAGGGGCGTGTGCGGTGGAGCCGGTAGCGGCGGCGACCCAGGCTCGAGCAGAAGTCTGAATGAGCCTGGGGTCGGTTAATCAGTCAGGTGCGGCGGCAGGGGCATGGCTCCCAGTGGCCTCCCAGGAGACTCGGTAGCGAGACGGGCCGCCCCACTAGTTGAACCTACAGCCGAGGTAGTGTAGGAGGGTACCGTAGGCCCCCCGCCACCGAGGGGAGGGGACGCCGCTGAACTACTAGGGTGACAATGGGAGCCCTGGCTTTGCTCGCTGTCGCCTTCGCGGCTGCAGAGTAGGCTCCCGAGGTGACTTCCTTGGACCTAAGCGCCCCTGCGGAAAACCGGGGTTTCCGTAGACGGAACCTGGCTCTAGCCAGAAACGCCTAGATGGCCCGTGCTGTCGGATCTCCCCTGGCTGCCAAAAGGGACCTGGGAAGTCAGAGCAGTCAACTGCAAGCTGCTCCAGGTGATTCTGAGAAGCTTCCCCCACCCCTACACGTGCCTTTTCCAAGCCTCTGCTTTAGGTTTTCGGCCAACTCCTTCAACACAGGGTCCCGATATCTATTCCACATGATGTCATTTTGCGTTCAGATGTTCTTATATAAGAACCGGAGAGTAATAATGGGATTTAAAGTTAGTGACAAATTGCAAACATGATGTTTCACATATTGTGTGCTTCAAAAATCTATGCAGGCTTCTATGTAACATTTAGTAAAATACGGTTTGCCTAATGAGGCTTCACTTTCAATGACAATTCTAGAGCGTCTAGTAGCAAACTCTACCACCGTTATAGTTTTTTTTTTCTCGGTATAATTCTTAAAGAGCTACATTAAGTAAACAAGAAACTCCTTTTATTTCTATAATCATTTCAATAATGTCAGTAAATCATGCCTGTTCCTACCGTAGCCATTTTGTCTAACTCAATTTTATGAAATACAGAATGTCAATTTCTTCAGTTGGCATGAATTAACAGCCCCTCCAGAGAGAGGGGGGAGGGAGGGAGGGAGGGAGGGAAGGAGGGAGAGAGAGAGAGAGAGAGAGAGAGAGAGAGAGAGAGAGAGAGAGAGAGACGGAGAGGGAGAGGGAGAGGGAGAGGTAAAACAGTAACTGATAAAATATTGATGCTTTCGTGCTACTGGTACAAAACAAATACAATTTAAAAAGCTTGTGCTGACACTTGTTTAGTAATAACCCAAACTTCAAAATATACACAATTTTTTAAAGAAATTTAATTACACAAGTAATGTTATCAAAATATTACTTTTAATAATAACACAAATTTTATCAATCAAGGTGCTAAATAATCACTTTTTGTTTTATTGCAGCCTCATACTAGCTCTACTATTAGCCACATTTTACAGCTGAGACTTTAGCTCTCACATTCACTTCCTATTCCCTAGATATTACATAAATGTTAAATAAATTAGTGAATAGTGCCTTAAAAGGTCAAATTTATCTGAGATCATGATGCATGATTATAACAGCAAGTTCATTCCAGAATCTCAGCTTTGAAAATGAGTGTCATAAAATGAGCAATTATAGTGAAAGGGAGGTCCACTGAAGATCTACTGGATGCATTTCATCAAACTTAACCACGAAGAAGGCTGAGACTCACCATGAATTTTCCTAATCTATACCTAACCAGAAATGGTAAGAATATAGAACATGACCAAATTTGGCGGCACCAGTAAGTTGCAGGTTGGAAGACTATGCTTCTGTGACAAGCAACCATACTGTGAATCATGGTGAAAGCAAGTGCACATTGCACATTAAGATATCACTTACCTAATGGAGCAGGCCATCAAGACAAATGTCACACACCAAGATTAGTCAGAGAGAGATGGCTGTAAATAGATAGATAGATAGATAGATGGATACATTGATTGAAATTATGTGACAAGGCCACTGGCAAAGAAAATGAGAAAGAAAAGAGAATTTTGAGAAAGACCCTATATGAGGCTGAAGGAATACATAGTCCCCTCCAATTTATGTTACAGTTAGGAATTTATGTTTTTCTCAATCATGTAAAATGACTGTGAAACTAAATCTGAATCTAAGAATGAACCAAAATGTGAGTGTAGATTCCTACTGTCTTAACAGATTGCATCAAGGCCTTAAGCGTTTCTCTTAACTTCTCCTCCCTTAGGTTCCCCCATGAAATATAGCATTTGACTTTGACTTTGACAATATAATCAGCATAAATCATTTCACTTAGTCTCTTCAGAACATAACAGGCTTTTCATTTTAAGTATTCTTGATTTGGGTAGGGGAAAAAAGAAAAGGATTAAATCATCACTGCTCTTATTCTTTTATTCTTAACTACAAATGACTCAGCTGAATCTTTCTGGCATTTTTTTCCCCAGGACTGTTCAAATAAACTACCATTTATGTACTCTGCCTATTACTCAGAATTTAACATCTTCCCCGCTTTTTTGTGCATATAGTATAGTGAATCTCTATAAAAACCCAGGCAACTTAATGTTGCCTTCTCTTAGTGAACAATATAATCTTTAAAGATTAGGAGTAAAGTATGTTGTCATAAATATATGCAAAAATACAATGAACTAATTGGTATGATGTCACACATTCTTCAACAGGCTAGATTTAAACGCCAAACTATGAACCTTTGGGGAAAGCCTCAGAATCTTTTTTAATTGAGGCAGAGTAGAAATATTAAGTTAATTAAATTAATTGGACATAATTTTTTGAGATATTTGCAACCATATCAAAACAAATCACTTGAAATAGTATTTTTAATCTATTATTTTTAAATAATGTCAGTCTAATTTATGACTCTGGTTGTTAACACTTTGTCCCTCCAGATTTCAAAATAAAAATGAAAATCCCTTAACTAAAATATCCTCAGTTAAGATTCTAGAGTGCAATGTGGTTTTAATTGGCTATAGATGAAGAATTTACAAATAGCTCTCTAATCTTATTTTTAGGAATTAATACAGCTAGGAGGGGAGTCTTCCACTGGAAGAAGGACTTTTAAGCCTTTGTCTCTTTGGAGCTAAAGAGAGAATATAAATGTTTTCTAAATTGGCCTTATAGGGATCTTATTTTTACTTATCATTTATTTTGCAAAGATACTCACTTTGAATTACTATGCAAGATATATTTTAGTAATTTCACTTATTTAACATTTGGATAAAATATCATTCAGAAGCGCTTCTGGTAGATGTTTCCAGTTGGCTTGAGTTTATTTTTTTTTTTTGATACTGCTATATTGATTTCTTGTCTTTTTTGAGATTGGGTCTATATAGCCCAGACTGATGTGAAAGTCACTCCATAATCAAAGTTGGCCTTGAATTCTTCAGCTCTCCTACCTCAGACTCTCAAGTGCTGGGATTACAGGTATGTACTACCATGCCCAACTTCTTACTTTTCTTAATAAGCAATGTCTTCTCATGTTAATTTATCCCTTTTACATTTTATTTTTGAATAACACAGATCACTAAAACATTAAGAGAACAATTAAACATGAGAAAATAACAACCTCCTCTTTTCCTGTTTGTCATAGACAGTGCTTGTAATTTCAAAAGCAGATATATTATATTTCAGCAATTCTGATAAGATTAATATTTATAAAACAAAGTACTTATTGTTCCCAAGAATAATGTAAAAATCTTATTCCAGAGAAAGGTTAGTAAAATTTCTGTAATACTGTTGGTATTTCCAGTATAATTCACCTAACAGCTATCAATTAAGATCCAAAATCTCTAATAGCAACATAAGTTTCCAATCATCAGAGAAATAAGTATGAAATAACCTTCATTGTGAATAGGCCTCATTGCACCTCTCCAGGCCAAATCTCCCTTTAGATTGAATGGGGGAGAAAGAGCACCGAGGGATGATAATTAAATTAGTAGAATAATTTCTTTGTTGTTTTGCCTCAAAGGTAAGCTGTATTAAATCAAGCCTTGTCCTTTTCTTTTTTTTTTTTTTT